TGTGTGTGTGTGTGTGTGTGTGTGTGTGTGTGTGTGTGTTACTTGTATTTTATCTGTCTCTAGATATGGCAAGAAGATAGAGGAATCCATAGGGACCCTTCTGCCTCAAGTAGAACTATAAATTCTGAAACCTCAAGGATTGAGGTGGAAGAGAGGACAGCAAGTCCCCATGAGCTCGCCCCTAGCCTGTTCTTACAGTTGAAGCAAAGGAGACACACTTTTGGAGCACAGATAGCTTGGACCTTAATTTGCTCACAAGGAGTATAGCCCTTTCCTCAGAAGAATCTGATTACTGCTTAGGCCCTGGCAGTAATCTCAATGTCCTTCAAATATGGAAACATAGAGTTGAAGGAAGCCAGAGCATTCTAGGAAAAATTCATTCTAAAATGACTTCTGATTAAGCCTTTGACACCTAAAGAGATTGTCTAGTACAAAGAGCTCCAAGTGCCCTTGGTAGTGTACTCAGTATTTGCCAGAATGTGCTCAGTTTTTGCCGGGACCTGTTAGGCACAAGATTCCTATCCTTCTGCTTTCTAGGAGAGTGGACTACCACACCCTACATGTGCCATGTGTATAACATGTGTGGCTGGGAGATGTTATGCTACACCATGCTTCTGTTTAGCTCATGAACCCTTTCCTGGATGGCTTCTTCATGGGTGACATCTTCTCTTTCCAGCTTGGTGACTCTATCATGGTTTATTAGCAGCCATGTTGTATCTGAGCTAACCAGGATGGGTGCTCAAAAAGCAAGACTGAGCTCACTACAAAAAGTTCAGGAGATTTGAAGAGACCAGAGCAAGAGTGCAAAAAGCGAGCATCTAAGATGGAGCTTAGAGACTGGGCAGGCAGGGGAAAGGAAAGGGGGAGGCTCCAATATGGCCTGCAGGAATTGGTCTGCTCTCTAACAGTTCCCAACCTGTCCCTGGAATGTGGGGGCACCTGGGCACCTCCCACCCCTTCTGTTTGCTTTTCATCCTCCTTGATCAAGATGCGTCTTTGGGAGTCCCAAACATCTGGTGTTGGAAGGGAACCTTTGACGTCAACAGGAGAGTTTGTCTACTCAGGTGGAGCTAATGTCCTCAGTGTGAGGTAAGGTTCTGATCCTAGGAGGACAATACCTTCTGCCCCTAAGTGTATGCTGGGAGCAGTATGTGAGTGTGGGTTGATTACCCATCATACTAAAGCCAAACAAAACATGTTTTGATACCTCCCCCACAAGTCAGCTCATCAGACCCGTGGCTTCATGGGACTTTCGAGAGCCAGCCTCCCTAATATATAGACCTCAGGGTGGATTTTGGCCACAGTGGTTAGGTCATGTCCTTCTTAAACTGAGAGGGCCCTGGTGAGCTACAAGGGGACCCTGATCAACAAGAGGTAGGGGGAAAGCTCTGAAACTTTCCACAGAAAGACCACATTTAGTATTAGGCTGTGCAAAATTTCCATCAAGACACTGATGGCAAGCACTGGTCCCCAGCCTGTGTCCTGCCTGTTGGGGAATTAGGTGCACTTACTGAGCTTGGAAGGCAAATTGCCCCCCAAGGAGAAAACACTTAGGTAATTGCTTAAAGACAAATACTGAAGCTAGAATTCTAATGAGAGGAGGTAACGCCTGAGAGACAACAAGGAAGCAACTAGACAGTTGCCAGGACAGCACTTTAAGGAAAGCTGCCTGATCCAGCTGGTGTGGAGACCATGGCAGCTAGAATACATCTTCCCTGGGGCATTTAGGGAGTCTCTTTAGTTAAGAAGGCCAGAGTGCTAGAGGGCTGCCAAGAGACATTTGTCTTTCTTCTTCCTCAGTTGGCAGACCTGTGCCAGGCATGGGTTCAGGGATAAGAATGAGTGGATTTGCAGAAAGTTGTCAAGAGGATGGGCTGGAAGATGCAGGGCAGTGAGGGGTTTCAGATTTAGGAGACAACACGGCTCCTGGAACTGAGAACAAAAGACATTGGACAGAAGCTTCTGCTTGAACCTGATGGTCTAAACTCCTCCAGCCTTATCTAGGAATCAGAAGAAGACCAGGTAAGATGCTGGGGCAGAATTGAACCAGGTAGATGCCAACCTACAGGATTTTGCAAAAGGAAGCTCTCCTTTCTTCCATTGAGCTGTATCTGGGGAAAGTAGTCATAGGATGGGAAACCTATTAAGAATTCTAACACACACAAAAAAATCTAGTTCTTGGAAGCTTAATGATGAAAAGGCTTCTAAATATTTATAGATCAAACCTATTGTTTTATAGATGAAGAGACCACAGCTAGTCTGGAAACTTTACCCAAGTGATAAGTGAACATGAGCCAAACTTCAGGTGTATGAATTAGCAACCTGGGTTGGCCTATCTTACTCTGTGATAGAGCCAGGGAAACAAATCAACCAGCAGATTCTCTTTCCCAGCTCTCCTGACAACTGGGTGAGTCATATGTTTCTTGTCATCCGTTTCATGAGTTTTCAAACGTTATAGCTCTGACATCATAGGGTCCCCAGGAAAGCACTAGGTTGAAGTGAACCTCTGGGATGAAACCTCTGGCTAATGAGATAGTGTCGAATACCTTCCTGTGGGGAATCATTACCTACTGTTTCCAGAGACCAGTTACCTGCTCCGGGCTTGGACTACCTCTTGGTGTCCTGTTCCCTTTTGTAAACATGCCAATAGAACTGGGTCATCCTCTGACTTATATACCATCCTAGAGCCTTCACCCAGCAGCTGGTAGAAGTAGAAGCAGACACCCACAGCTAATCACCGAACTGAACTGGAATCCAGTTGCAGAGAATGACGAGTGATGAGCAAAGGGGTCAAGACCAGGCGGGTGAAACCCACAGAAACAGCCGACCTGAACAAAGGGGAACTATTGGTTCCCAGACTGATATCTGGGAAACCAGCATGGTATTGATCCAGACCCCATGAACGTGAGTGTCAGTGAGGAGACCTTGGAAATCTATGGGGCCCCTTGTAAGTAGATCAGTACTTATCCCTAGCATAGGAATGGAGCCCTTCCACATAGAGGGATACTCCCTGAGCCTAGCCACACGGGGGTGGGCCTAGGCCCTATCCCAAAGGATATGACAGACTCTGAAGACTCCCCTATGGAAGGCCTCATCCTCCCTGGGGAGCAGAAAGGGTATGGGAGAGGTAGGGAGTTAGTTGGGGGGGGGGAGGAGGGGAGGCAGAGGGAACTTGGATTGACATGTAAAATAATCTTGTTTCTAATTTAAATTTAAAAAATGGAGAGAAAGGGAAAGAAAAAAAGAACTGGGTCATCCTAGTCCAGATGTGTCTACACATCCCAGCTCCTCAACAACCTTTCCTCAGTGCCCTCATACATACCGATTTCAATAGCCTAGACTTATTCCACATAGCTACAGAAAGGAGTAA